AGACCCACATTATAAGTCTAATGGGTTACTCCTCCTTCCACCAATTGGTTTTGGGATGGAACCCCACTTGGGCTTCATATGGGCTTTCCCTGCTTATGGTGCGCTTAATGTTAGTGGGCCCGCACACGTTTTTCCCCCAGTTTCTTACAGTCTCTTTTCGGTACTAGCGAATCGTCTATTTTGGCATTGACAATGGGCCGCCAATTTCGGGAATATACGATTGGAGACCGGTTACTCCGCCGGCAGTAGGGATAAATACGAACAGAGAGTAAAAAGGTTGAACTATGAATTTTAAGTTGAGGGTTGTAGATCACGAAATTGGCAGCGATTGGTTATGTCTGTCGTCGGTTGCGACTTGATTTCTTCATCTTCTCCAGATCTATGGCTCGATTTCTTCACCTTCGTTGCACCACTAAAGTCGTTGGTATGTCGACGGTCCCCGCGACTCACATAGATGGCCGCTTCGATATCGTTGCTCGATTTGCAGCAGTTCTCTTAAGAATGGTCCCATCTCAAAAAAATTGAGACATTTGAGAATTTTGGGGACGTGGGTTGTCTGGTTTGTCGTTCGTGAAAAAGAGAGAAAAAAAAATAGAGAAGATGAGTATTTGTGCGGTTAAATTAGTAACTGTTATTTGTTGCAACTGTTATTGGCGTAGTAATGGAAATGAAAATAACGTTTTTGACCTAATAATATACTAGTTCTATTGTGTAAAATGTTGTTTTGAATGAGTAAGGAGTGTCTTTATTTCCTCTAGCTACATTGATGTGTAAATGTCACAATTGTATGCTTATAACTCATAAATAACGTAATTACAAGTACATTCATGTAAGATAGAAATTTGAAAAATATAATTTTTCGTTTTATCAAAAATTTATTACAGGACATTAGATAACATCAGCTTGTATATGTGATTTCAATTCTAATGAGAAAAAATCTAATGAAAAATTACACAAAAATATGAAGCTAAACCCGAAAGCAACTACAGAATCAATGCTTGTACGAGTCGAATAGAAGGCATTATGTGAATAGCACAGTCAATTTGTAATAAACCGTTCTTAATCAAATCTTCGAAATCGACGAAATGAAAGAGATTAAATATAAGCATGGTAAAGCTTCACATGTATCAGCCACACATTGAAAAGAAACAACCATCTATTCCTAACAAAATTTTCATACATGAAATTTAACAAATTCAAAAACTCAATACACATGAAAAAGGGATAATAATATTCACCAACTTATTTATAGTAAAAAAGAAAAGCTCACAACTAAAAATCAGATGATTCGACTCGGTTTGATCTGCCACATTGTTCGTGCTCTAACAATCTCGGCATGATCGCCTTCCATGCGAAGCAAATGCGTGCACTCCAAGTGATGTTTTTTATCCTGATTGTCTCCTTCTAGATCGATTGTTTCAAGGTTCATTCTCGTTAAGGATTGTAGGACGTCACTTTGGTGGCATTCTCGTCTGTATTCCATAGTCATGTTCGTAATATCATAATCTTGGAGCACGTTTATGGGCACACTCTGCACATTAAAACCAATGTTGGAGGTAAATTGTGTTTGAACTTATGACTTTGTTTGCAGTTAGCTTAATGTTTGTTGTAGATGGTCCTATTATGATAAAGATCAGCTTAATGTTTGTTGTAGATAGTCCTATTACGATAAAGATCATGTAAATTAGGAGGGAAAAAAAAAACATATAAATAATAGTAGACATGAGAATTTTAATTTAAGCTATCATATTATATTCTGAAATTATTTTCGACGAATAGATACAATAGACATATTCCATAGCTAACATGCAGAAAATTATTTTAAAAATAGCTATACAATAGCCATAAATTGGTGAAAAAAAATCCATTAGAATATAAATGAGCAGAGACTAGTGACATAAGTAAACTTTTATCTGTTTTAGAGAAAACAATTATAGAAAAAACTCGTCGCTATTAAATTACAAATAATAAGGTTACAGGCAGTATTAACTTGCTATAGCTACTGATTTTATTGAATATGTAATTTTGTAAAAAATAAAAAATAAAATAAAATAAATAAATAAATAAAATAAAATCTACTAGGGCTAGAGACATACCTCCAACATCCATCCTATGTATTTAACGTTGTTTACATGTTGATTGACATCCATGTCACTCCATCGAGGCTGAGTCAAATGAAGGTTTCGGATAATTAAGACGCAAGCAATAAATTTGTGACAAAATCTCCTCAAAACATATAGAGAAAGAAAATCACAATTGATTGAAAGATAAACATCTTCTAATTCTATTTTCATATATATACATATACTTACAGCCAGGCCGGTACGAATTTCTCCAGCAATATCATCAGTGAGCTTCGGGATATTTTCTCTGTCGGTGTTTTCAGAGGCAATTGCAAGCCTATTTAGGTAAAAAGGGACCAACTCACTTCTTACTTCATCTGGGATTTTACTTAGCCTCCTTGTTTCTCTATTCATTGTCACCCAAGTACTGAGAGAACAAAAACAAAAACAGGGCAATGATTTTGAAGCTAAAAAGATGAAAACAATTACTGAGAACCACCTACAAAAATTTAATATTAGAAATCTACTGGAGTTCAATCTTAACTTTTAAAAATGGTTAGGCAGAGTTTATTAAACTTGTCTATTATGAAAATGTGAAGCTTTTTTTTTCTTCAAATATAAACTTCCTAACATGTTTTTGGCATTTTCTAGAACAGGAGAGAGAGAGAGAGAGAGAGAGAGAGAGAGAGAGACCTGGTTGCTCGTGTAATGATATTTTGCGTGTTGTAGTCGCGAATAATCCAATCACGGCGCATACCGTTCTTGCCTGCAGCATCAACCCAAGTATCTACCTCTACAACATCTCCCCTGTCACCAAATTTTAATATTATTGCATAATACTAAAATATTCATATGATGTTTCATAGATATTTTGGTCAAACCGTAGGTATCGTTTCATTCTAATTTCTTATTCTTTTGTGTCATGATATGCAGCTATCCCTCAGTTTGTTATATTCCTCTGAATGAACACTAGTACTAAAACATATTCTACAATGGAGAGTGTTGACCTTTTCAATAGTGTTTTTTTTTTTCAAGATGGATAAGAAGGTTTATTTAACAATTGTTTAGTCGTTTTATTTCCATAACCAAACACTGCCCATCCACGATGTGCAAATATTTTGCAAGGAGGTTTGGACCCATAACCAAGCACTAAGGCTATAATCAATATTGTGATATGCTCGTATTATTTTAAACACCTTTATGATAAAATTTCCACACCGGATCCTAAATAACAAATATTGTATGTTGAATAACAAATATTGGATATTGACTTTGTATGGGTTATACTTATTCATAAAGTTTTCACCCTGACCGATCATCAAACATGTCAAGCTACAAGTTTAATGACTCACTAGTCACACCAATGGTTGAATCGCTTGGACAGGTATGTAATTAGTTATATTTTTTAAATATATATAATGCATATAAGAACTTTATTATATATAAACATCAATTATTAATTATTTAGAAAGTTTTAACCATTCAAATGCCTGAACGAACTTAATATAATATATTTAAATATATATTTTTATTAATATTAAAAAAATAGTAAAACTAACTTTTCTAAAAGGAAAAAAAATACAAAAAATATAGAAGGAAGAAGAAGAAAACAATAGCTCCACTGCTCAGAGCGGCTGATTTTTGGCCGGTTCGACTTGTCAACGTTCAGTTCTTGATCAGTTCAACAGCAACCGGTTCGTTCCAACAAGTTGACCGATTCTCAATCAAACAGGCCGGTTTCTTCCGATTATTAAACTTAAACTTATTAAGTAAGCTATAAACTGACTTATTGATAATGATAAGGATACTGATACTTATGCTAAAAGATTAAGGGGACAACATTTGCCCCTCCGAGCTATGTCCAGTTTTCAATTTGCTATGCAGACTATTTTTTTCTTCATTAGCCTCCTAGCTAAACCATTTTTCAAAATTGACCACCACAACCCATTTTTCCCGGTTTTAACAAATTGACTAGTTCCATAAGAGTATTTCAAACTCAACCATTATTTTCTCCTTCTCAAACAAGATGGCTTACTTTGAAACCCATCTTTAGAGATGGAATTTGTTTGTCCATTAACTACACCCCCAATATGAATCTAGGTCCCTCACACCCAGGATATAACAACAAATGCTTTTTACATTCCCCAACCAAAAAGTACACTATTCATTCATCTCGATTTTTATCTCTCTAATTTTCACAATACAATTTCAAAAAATAAAAATAAACATCAATTATATCTATACATTTCTCGATAAAATTTACTACTAATGCACTCATCAATTTGTAACTACCAATCACCATTTTACAATTTTTTTTACAATTTTTATCACATCGGTATTAATAATACTTTTTATATCAGTTCACTTTATAACTACCAATCACCATTCTAAAATTATTTTGTGATAATACAAGTCTATATAGTGACTCATTATTAGTTACTGACACTGATTCAAAATTAGGTGCTTGTTTAATGAGTGAATGCAAATAAATGAGAACACATACCAAGAGCTGTATTTGTCAATTTGCACTTGTATGCGAGTGACAACCCAAATGAGTTTCCTTAGGCTCATCTCACGGGTCACCCCAAACCCGTCTCCAGCTACCCCTGAATTCGCCACGTGGTTAAGAGCCGTCTCCTGCATGCACCGATTTTTGAAACCTCCAAATCAATTCAAATTTTATGCAATATTTTTCTTTCTATAAATATAATTAATTTAATTTTCATTTCAAAATTCCAAAAAATAATTTTGACATCATGTGATTGCGAACACAAGTTATGGATGAGTGCAATTTTGGTCCTCCATGCAATACTTTAATAATAAAATATATGGACAAACTACATAACTAAAGTTGAAATCCATCCAAATTAATCTATTTCTCGAGATCGACTGACGAGCATATTAACAATATTGCAATCAATCCAAGTTCGAGCCAATTTATATTTAATGCCCATACATATTGCAATCAATCCAAGTTCAATCCAACTTATATTTAATCCCCCAAGCGCTCGTTTATAAGCTGTTTTACCGTCATATATCACTTGTTTACTTCTAAGTTTTTGGGTTTTGCATTTAATCTACCCAGTACTGGATTTTCGTGATAAAATAATCTCGGGATGGGTGGGATTGTTTTGTACAACAGTCCAAACCCCCAACTCCACTGTTTTTTACACAAATCTCCTTAAAGGTTATTAGTTTGTCCGATATATATTCTATCCAATTCTGTCGACTCACAAGTAGTCTCAACTCCACTTTTTTTTTACATAAATCTCCTTACTAGTTTGTCCGATATATATTCTCCCAAATTCTCACGTCTCAGAAGTAGTCTTTCTTAGTCGATGTTCATAGCAGCAAAGCAAAGTATCCCACACTGGCACAAAAAAGACGCTCATTTTCTTTGTAGCGCTCATTTTCTTTTTAGTCATTCTACTCTTCTACCCCGGCCTCGCCGCCCCGGTTAAAGCATAACCTCCCGCCACTATTCCTTTGATATTGCCATTCTACTCCTCTATGCCGCCCCCGGTTAAAGCATAACCTCCAGGCTCCAGCCACTATTCCGTTGGCATTCATTCCGAGCAAGGTAAGAACTTTTGTATTCTCAGGAACACTCTCATACCGACTGAGTAATGTGACACTTTATGATCTATCGTGGAGACTGTTGGCTAGTGTATCATATACCGCTTTAATCCCCTCCAACGTTTCGGCCACGAGGAGTCTGGTCCACTCCTCGCCTTTCGCCGCTGGGTTCGAGTTCCTAGCAAGGTTAGTGATCAACCCTATAGTTCGAATATATTTGTCTCCGTACTACAAATAGTTCCACTCCAAAAGGCCAACGAAATATGTAATTCACCATAATCAAAATCTATGCTTACATCGGCCAGAATCAAAATTTATGCTTACCTATCAGAGAAGTTTGACAATTTTGACCACCGAAGATTGAAAGGCTTTTTAAACACATTTAATTAATTCATCGAATAAATTTTGATTCATGGTGAACTCTTTCAAAGTTGAACTAAAATAATTCGTAGATGAATAATGCGAGTAGTAAGTATGATTTCCCCGTATCATTTAGTAGTCACTAACCTTGCTAGTGGTCCCCAGAACTCGAAGCCGACAGTAGAAGGCCACGAGGAGTAGACATCGGAAGGCCAGGAGTAGACGAGCATGGCTCGAGAACTCCTCATGGCCGAAACATTAGAGAGATGATAGATCATAAGTGTCACACTACTCAACACTACTCAACACAACCAGCACACCATCACAACCGACGGATGATAGATCATAAATGTCACACTACTCAGACCACGATGGATGATAGATCATAAATGTCACAGTACTAAATAGTCTAAATTTATGAGAGCGATTTGTGATAATACAGATGCTCTCACCTCTCCCCTCCCTGTCCGGAATGGATGCCAACGAAATAATGGCTGAAGGTTATAGTGTGACCGGGGTCGGGGGCGGTTCGGGGTCAAGGCGGTGGTGGGGGCTGCGTAGAGCAATAGCATGGCTAAAAAAGAAAATAAGCGTCATTTTCAATTTTTATTTTTTTTTTGTGTGTGTTTGTGAGAGCGAGTGGCGACTACTCTTATATTGTAAAATTGTGATACTGTGGCTGAGTTGTGGCTGAGTGGCTGAGGAATATAGTGTGACCGGGGTTAAGGAGGTGGCAGGGTGGCATAGAGTAGTAGCATGGCCAAAAAAGAAAATAAGCTGTCATTTCATTTCCATTTTATTTTATTCGCGACTACTCTTATAGTGTGATTGTGATACTGAGTGGATAGGAAAATAAGCGTCATTTTCATTTTTTTGGTGTGATGCGAGTACTCTTATATTGTGATTCTGATACTGAGTGGACAGAATTTGGGGAGAATAGTAGTAAGTGGAGTAGAGTTGGATTGTTGTACAAAACAATCCGAGATTATTCTATCAGCCCAGGATTCGGATTAAATGTCGGGCCAAATTAACTAAAGTAAACAAGAGATATATGGTTGTAAGACAGCCTATTCTAAACAAGCCCTAAATACTCAACTCCAAACTAAAAATATATGTAATGAAAAACCCAAAAACTGTTAAATGTAGAAACTCAAAATCAGATATTACAATCCTAAAATCTCCCTATATATATAACAAATGCTACGACTTCGTTGAGTTAAGTTTTAATGGCAGACTCACACGTTTTAGAATCCTATGTGGCAAAAGACATGCTTCGTAGCTAGACTGGATATAAACTAGTATTTTTTTCTAGACTTAAATTGCATCAGTATCTATATTACTCACATTACAATTTGTGATTGATCTCTTCCTTTTTTTTTTCTTCCTTCTTTAAACTATTTTACATTTCTTTTTTGTACATTATCATATATTACATTTTTTTCTTATTAATCCATACACCAATTATTATAAATGTGTCTTCTACTTATTTTTTGATTTTTATAACTTTTTTGTTTATATTTTGTTTTTTTATATATGATATATCAAATTAATTATCATTTTTAATTTGACATCTATATTATATAAATAAAAATGCAAGACAGTGATATATATCATTAATAAATTTAAAATTGATTTATCAAACTGAACATTATAATAATATAATCATAATAAATAAAAATAATTATTATATTTCGTAAAGTTTAAAAATATTAAACCCATACACCTTAGATTTTAAATTATTGAGTATTATAAAGTAGAAGATATTTCGAAATATAATAGACTAGTACAACGCCCGTGTATTACACGGGTGCTTGCTAATTTTTTTTTAAAATCTAAAATTAATGAAAAAAAAAGTAGTTGAAAATTTAAATACCTTTTATAAAAATATATATATTATTATATATTTAGTATGACACTTTTTATTTGTGCGACTTACATGTGTTATATTATAATAATTTTTTTAACTTACAACATATAACTACATTAAACATAAATATATCAATTGAGAAATAATTTTATTTTTTTAATGAATTTTAATAAATATTATTAATTTTTATTATTATAAGGATAAATATAATTTATTTATTTCATATATACAATATGGATGTTAAATCGAAGATCATCAAAAGATCATTAATTTGATATATTATATACAACCGATAAGAAATACAAAAGTTATCAACTTTTAAAATACATTTACAATTCAATAGCTAATTGAAGGAAACAAATCAAAAGTCAGGGATATATTAGTCACTTAGTGCCTCACTATGTAAAACTACAAATAATTAAAGGGTTATATTAGTACAACTAATATTAAAATACCTAAGTTAGCTAATTAATATTTATAGAATGTCCGAACCTAGATTATTAATTATTAATATATCAACTAGTACAACGCTCGTGTATTACACGGGCACTTGCTAATTTTTTCTTAAAATCTAAAATTAATGAGAAAAAATAGTTGAAAATTTAAATATTTTTTATAAAAATATATATATTATTATATATTTAGTATAACACTTTTTATTTGTGCAACTTACATGTGTTATATGATAATAATTTTTTAAACTTACAACATATAACTACATTAAACATAAATATATCAATTGAGAAATAATTTTATTTTTCTAATAAATATAATTTATTTATTTTATATATACAATATAGATGTCAAATCGAAGATCATCAAAAGATTATTAATTTGATATATTATATATGTAAAACCGATAAGAAATTCAAAAGTTATCAACTTTTAAAATACATTTATAATTCAATAGCTAATTAAAGGAAACAAATCAAAAGTCAGGGATATATTAGTCACTTAGTTCCTCAGTATGTTAAGTTACACAGAAATAAAAGGTTATATTAGTACAAGTGATATTAAAATACCAAAGTTAGCTAAATAATATTTATGGAATGTCCAAATCTAAATTATTAATTAGATCAATATTATCTGTCCAAACCTAATTACGAAGCATGATTCTTTGCCAAATAGGATTCCGAAGCACCAGAAGCAGCCACGTAGGCTCAACGCATTCGGGAATAATATATAAGGAGGATAGGGAGGATATTATTTGTCCAAACCTAATTACGAAGCATGATTCTTCGCGAAGGAAGATTTCGAAGCACCAGAAGCAGAAGCAGCTACGTAGGCTCAGCGCATTCGGGAATTATTTATAGGGAGGATAAGGGAAGAAACTTGTGTATATAAAATATTATTCAAACGTGGAAAAAACTAAATTAATTTCAAATAAATTAATGAATCGTAAATAATATATATTTCTGTGTACATATAATATTAAAAAATATATATATCATTTTAGCAAATTGAGTATAGAATATAGGTATTATTTTAAATAATTAACTTTGTTAATTTTTTAAACATTAGTTTTATACTTAATATTTTATCATTATATATAAGAATACAAATTTTTTACTTATTTATTTTGATACATATATTTTATTTTTATTTTAATGCACACTATTGTTCATGAGCGTTATATTAATTATTCTATTTAATTTTGAATAAAAAATAATAATTTAAATAAAATAATAACATTTCATACAAAATATTTTCTATAATTTAAAATAATATTTCAAATTCTTTTACTTTATTAATAATCATTTATAATTTTTATTTCACAATAATCATTTTTTTTTCATTCTTTGTTGAATAATTAATTTTTTATAGGGGTTTGTACTAGTTTAATAAATTAGACCCAAATGTTCAAGTTTTTACTCAATTGGAAGGCGCATTCTAAACGAAGACTTGTCTTTCAATGTGAATCAAAAATCCCAAAACAAAAATAAGAAATAAAATAATTGGTACAGTTGAAAACAAATTCAACAAAACCTGGAGGAGATTCATGATCGTTTCCACAGTTGCCGTCTTATCCGGCCCGATTTCGTACGACCTTATCACAAACGACTGCCGGAAAACAGATTTGCCCTCTGCAAATCTCCCCAAAAGGTACTCGTGGTTCATCTGCAGATTAACTTCGCTTCTCGACAGACTATTTCGCTCCGGGATCGAGATCCCGTCGACTTGAACTCCGTTCACTCTCTTCCCATGAGCCGTCTCGACGTCCGTCTTCGTCTCGGCCTTCAGCTCCATCCGCCTCGCGCTCGCCGCCCTGCAACCGCCGTGAAAACCGAGGCGCTGGCGCGGCCGGCCAGCCGCGACGCGAAAATCGCCGCTTCTATTGATCTGCTGACTGAGGAGATCTTGCTTGGATAGCAACAAGCTGTGATTTTGCAGCAATGCCATTGCTGATAATGATTTATCAGCTCTCGATCTGGATGGATGAGCAAATAAAGTATTGCTAATTTTAGTGTTTCGATGGTACAGAAGAAAAACAAAAGATGGCAAATTTTTGGGTATTGATTGATTTTCAGTTGTTTGGGAGTGTGACTGAAAGGGTTAAAATAAGCTTGAAAATTGCAAACCTGAGGTGTGTTTGGGGCGAAAATGGAGGTGAGGCGGAGAAATCGAGAGTTGTGCGGTTCAGCAAGTGTAAGACTGAATACGTGGGCAGATGCTAGATGCCTATGCCTATATCGATGACAGTGTGTATTGTTTATCGTTTACGTTGTGACAATTTCCACGCCCGTGAATGAATTGTGACACGCAAGTGTGTCTTTGTTAACAAACAAACTTAGTAGTAGTACACATTATTTCCTGTTCATTATAAATGTTATTTTGATTTTTGTGATTCATCCATTTTATTATATATCTAGACATTAATATGTCTACATACATAACAAAATGGATGAATCAAAAAAGTCAAAACGACATTTATAATGAATAGGAGGGAGTATTTAATTTTAGAAAATGCTACAGTCTCGTTATTGAATTAAATCGTTAGGGTTGTAATCGTTAGATAATTATTTCTGATGGTTACATGATTGTCTAATAGTTACAAACTCCAATAGAAATGATTTCATAACGTAATCGAAGCATTTCCCTTTAATTTATACTACCAGTATCCACTTTGAGTTCACATAAATGTATATTGATATATCTTGAAAGAATATTCAAGTATCTGAATATTCTAAGTAGCACTTAAAAATTTCTCTCTCTCACCCTAATTCTCAATTTCCCCCATTTTTCTTAAATCCATTGGTCCTCTTTCAGATCCACGGCGCCTCCTTCTGGCGGAGGCGCCATACCTTCGCTATAAGACCGATACCAGATTCGTGGCTCCTCCATAGCCGAATTTCGCTCTTCTCGGATGGCGTGGCGCCTCTACCTTTGCGGTTGGCTATGGCGGTCTTGGCTACAGTGGGGTCTCATGCTGGTGGTGGATCTGCGGTCGGCGCTTTTGTCGTGCAACAACGGAGGGGCTGAGGTTGGGGTGGTCTTGATCTCCTTTTCCTGCTTCTTCGTGGTGCGTGGAGAGCGACATCTCCAACGGGGGCGGTGGTGGCGAGCTCGCCGGATTGTGAGAGGGCAAAGAGTTACGCGCCCTGTTGGTGTTGGCCCGACAGTGTAGCCTCCGCGGAGAGGATGGGTTTGTCGCTCCGATGCGAGTCTTATGATGTTCGTGTATTTCTCGTAGTTGTGTATGCCACTTTCTGTAACCTTTCTCGGTGGATATTCCGTCTGGGCTGGGTTCGAGTTGTAGGTGTGGTGATGTCAGCACTGCCGTGGAGGAGGGCTTTAGTCTAGTATAGTTTTAGTGTTGTGTGCATATATTAAATAATTTTCAGTACATAAATTAAAATGAAAAATAAGACGTACTGCTTCTACAACTTTTATAAAAATTAATGACATTATATGACAACAAAGTTTAAAATAAAAATAATAATAAGTATTATATGGTGAATAAGGATAAATAAAAATGTTATTTTCTCTTCTATGAAAATAT